AAATTTGAGAGCAGCGTTCAGGAAGGGCTAGTTACCTGATCATCATCTGAATAACCTCACCGTTTTATTGAGTATTGTCACCTAGGTGATTGGCTCAGATTATCTGGTTGAACAGGACAAAATGATGTCACGGATGCTGTAATAAGACTTCTACAGAGAGCAGTTAGACAAATACAGATTTATTGTAAAACAATAACTAACATCGCTGTCAAGTTTGGGCTAAGAGCTGGGCAAAACCTGTCCAAGAAGCTTGTTATGAGGTAACCGAGTCAGGCGCATGCTCTGAATCTACGTTTCAATCAGTATTCAGTGCAAAGCTTTTGGGAACAAACTGCATCCCACTGAATGCTAAACTCAGTGACACTCCATCCCTTCACAGTCAGTCGTGGATGAAATGGCTTAGTTTTATGTTCCCGATAAGTCGTTTTCCTGGGTTCTCAAAGAAGCATGCGATAATTAGTAATGGTTAAGTAAGCTTCCACCATTGACTGAGACAGCCGCGATTTGGCGGAACAGCATTTTTGCTGAGTGGTGATTGAGCAGGAAGTGAAAATCTGGACCGTGGCCGGTCCGTCCAGTATACACTAAGCTTATAACGAATGTGCCAAAAATAATACCGTCTCCATCTCTGTCGCCCAATGATAGCGGAGGTGATACAAGTAGGCAGTGGGGGAAATAACTACGCTCGAATTCTGATTCGTTTGCAAATCAGTAGGATTTTGGCACTCGAGTTTTGAGGCTTTCAGGCTGAACGCTCTTCTTTCGAGAAAAATCTGGTAAGAGAATGATAGGCATAATAAATAACCAACAAAGGTAGGTCTGCTGATTTTTCCCCTTTTCTCACGTTAACGCGCTACAAAAAGCAAAAGCTTAGTCTTCCTTTTCATTTCCTCATTTTGATAAGTCCGTGAGACGGAGTGATCTAGATGGACTTGTGTATTTGATGTAGCATATCGTAATGATGTTGTGTTTACTTCATAGTGTTTTGAGAGCAAATTATCTCTCATAATTACAACAGCGTGATCACCTGGCTTTCGATTTATGACTTTTAAAGTCCTCTCTCCACATGTTCTTTGTTTTTAGTGGGAGTAAACTTTTTCACATATCCGGCACAGGTTTTGCGCCATTCTTATGGAATATGTTAGGTGTTGATCCAGTGCACAAAGGCCTAGTGATCAAACTCCCTCACTATAACTACTTGGACTCATACACAATGGTTTTACCCCACCCAAATGTGTGGCCGTGCTAATGCATGCATTATAATAGCCGAGTTTTTCCACATAACTTTTTTCGCTGGGGTCTGTCGTTCCATACTGGCTAGATTTATGTGTTTCACTAACCTAACTCATCCCGATCGGCTAGTTTGGCGTATGTACCTGACCTCGCATTCATTATATGGATGTTAATAGATCAGATTATCCTGTTTAGTTGAACCCATCATGTCCCCGCGCAGACAAAGCTTATCTCCAGACTTGTTGGGAATCCTACGTAAAGTTTCTAGTGTTACTTCCTTACTTACAACATAATAGAGATTTCGAACTCTTACTCGATTTACCGCCATTACTCATTTTCGTATTACTGCTATTACTTCGTTTCCTATGTGTTCCCACGAATTCCCTAATTAACTTTTGGAGATAATTACTAGTTATCGGCTCTCCGTTTATGTTTCAGTTCCTTAATCAGCTCGTTGCTCTGACTAGTGAGTCTTCTAGCCCTGTTACTTAAGTATTTAACTGAACACGCCTTAGTTGATATCTGATGAGATGACCCGTAGTGTAGACACCTGTTGGTTTTATGTGAATGGTGATTTTCTAAGCTACAGTCTTCAGGAAACCGACACATTATAACACGCATCTGGACTTCAGGTCATCTCAGATATCAGTTAAGGTGGGTCTAGCCAACTGTTTAAACAACAGGGCTAGAGAGCTCACTGGTCGGCACATGGACATTGGTCAGATGAACTTTAACTCAGTTTGTGGCTCGTGGATCCCTTATGCTTCAGAACGATAGAAGGCAGGTATCATGGTTTTCGACGAAGTGAGAATAGTTACGTGGTATATACAAAACCTTCTGAACGTCACTGTTGTTTCGTTGGGTCAGTAATTTTTTAATCGAGAAGTGTTTGCTATGCGGTATTCGTCCTGAGTGCAGTCCCGCCTTGAAGACCGCATCAAGGAAGCAGAACCTCAATTTGAAAGATGAAGACATGATTAAATATGTGGAAAAGATGAGTAACACGTAAGTTGAAGGGCGCTTGCACCCCCCTTAGGAGACAGACCGGTAGTATTTGGACCTTTTCCTCCCATCCCATCTTGAGAAAGGACGACCTCACCATGTTACACCGAATCTTGAGCACGGAATGATTTATTAATCTCTCCACTTCATTCACCGCCCCTAAGAGTGATTTTTGCAAGGCGTGGTCATAAAAGCTTCCGGAAGCCGCGGTCGCATAAATTTTGAAAACACTCGAAACTTCTGATAAATTCTGATCGTCTTACCGGGTTTGAACGACTGAAGCTCGTGACTGAGACAAGTTCAAGCGAATTCTTCGGTGAAAGACTCTGAATAACCGGATCTCTAGGGAGTACATGTAATGCTGTAATGAAAACTTTGATCTTCGTTAATCCGAAAACCATGCCTCCAATCATCCATCATATCAGTTTGTATATACTTCTTCTGCCATGCCTTATTTTATCAGCATGCAGTACACGCCTTCCAGGGACTGGACAGTTGAGAACTGAGGCTACTTGCCCTAAAGAAACGTGCAATTTAAGTAGAAATTAATTCACGCCTGAGCAAATGGCGTGTATTCGTACATTCGGGAATTAACGGTGTGCTTACTGCTCTCAGGATTCCCTAGAAAAAAGTCGCCATATTTGGTACCAGGAACCTAACAAAATTAAGGGGTAAGTGTGGCGATGGGGGGCTGCCCCTGTACATTCTCAGAGTTGTACTAGGCTGCGTGGATCAGTAAGATCCGTCGTTGATCGGCGCGTATAAACACTTGGCCACGGTGGTCTCCGGAAGACCGAGTAAAGTGGTAAAATTGTTGTTGTATGTATCACAACCAGTGACTGAGATTAGGAAAACACAAGGCTTATCTGATTTCCAATGATCAGACCGTAGAAGTGGATGTCAACAGGCCCTCTGGGGGCCCAAAGGTAACCGATGCAGATGTTCTAGCGGTGGAGGTGGGCTTCAGATGCTTTGAGCACTATCCAGCGAACTGAATTTCCCCTCTACAGCGATCAAGGAAATGCCGACATCTCCAGACTTCGGCACAGGGCCTGAATTATTAAGGTACAACTCTCCAAGTAGAAAAAGGACCTGAGGTCCTAACGTTAGAAGATTGGTACTGTGCATCACAAATTTCTCCCAAATACGTTTTTGGTATTCCTCGACAAACAAAAGTTTGACCTATGAGATGCCCATTGAGAAGCCTGTCTAAAAGTGTGTAGATTTTTCGTCGATGTGATTTGTCACCACACAATTCGCAGGTCCGATAACACTGTGTGCCGACGCCTGACAAACGGAAACGAATGTAACCTTTGTCCAGGTTTAGTGAACCACAACACACCTAGTTTAGAGTGGGTTAAATCGTCCCCTTCGGAACACGGTAGTGGGTCTGGCAGTAACCTTTTGACTATTATGAAGGAGGATTTAGTACAACATGCCTCTAGGAATACACATTTCTCTACCATTAAAGGTTCTTCCCTATTGGGTCTGGTGTCCACATATGGCTTTAATGAAGTGGATACCTTTTATGCTCTCGCCCCTAGATAACAGTGACTATGTGACCCTATACTTTGAGTTTTTGGCTTGTTATATGGTTTATCCACGCGCTAAATCTCACTTCAGCGTGTAACGTGCGAACATCGTGGCTACCATAGCTCTCACCGCATCGTATCCCGTCAGCTAGTCCTGACTCATTTATTCCGGGGGAGGCTTCGCCTAGTCACATGTATATCAGTCTCACCAACAACTTATCCCTCATGGATAGACGGGGATAAACAAAAGACCTTTGGGTTGAGACAAATATTATGAAGTATTCACGCCTGTTGGTGTAGAGCAGTTGGGAATCAAATGTTGGCACACACGGAACTTTCGCCTAGCCCTGGTAACGAGAAAGAAGAAGCTCTGGCTTCACTCCGATCAAAAAACCCATGGGAGGGACGTCACATCAGCAACACACGGTAGTGTTGGTTCGGTGCGAGAGGCTGAGATGAATTGCCTGAAGTAGCTTCACATTACTTCGGGCAAGAGTTTCCGCAGGCGTGTGTTGAACCCCTTGTATTTATCCTTAAAGACGAACCGCAGGTAGCACTATTGCCTATCGAGATGAAGTTAGTACGAGAAGTTCTTCAGCGCCCCCACAGTGGCAGGTGCAGTGATCCAGATTATCACTGCACATTTTCTGCATCGGTGGGTATCACTATTCAACTACTGTCGACGCATTTCAATAAATCCCTAAACTAGTTCAAGTCTCAGGGCCTAGAAAGACGTGACTTAGAACATGACCTTCAAAACTGAGTCCGGCTTCCTCAGCAAAAGCTGTCTCCCGGTCCGACAAGCATAGATGACAAGCTACTGGAAAGGATCATCAAACGGAATAGATTACTGGCTAATGAAAAACAGGCTTTTCGCTAGTCTCTCTAACCCGATGGACATCCTGATCCCACCAGAAGACTGACCTACATTTGCAGATGCAGATGTACACACGAATGCGGTGCCTAGCTGATTTCCAAAGGTCTTGGATAAATTGGCCAGTTTAAGGAATATGGTGAAGGAATATAAATCCTTGATAGGTACTAAATGGGCGGCTGGACCAGGGACGCCCTCAGTGACAGAAGAAAGAGTAAGGTTTACCAGCTTCCCAACTTTATAGAAACCAGGGGAGTTCAGTTCACTACAAGAATGATTACTGGATCTTTTACCCTCTTAATTTCTGTCAGCGAACCTTTCAAATATTGTACACTGTACATTTGCAGATATTGTAGTGTGCATTTGGTCGTCCTTCAGCAGCGCGTGGCTTGAGATAATTGTTTGCTCATCGTCTGTGAGATGAGTGCATCGACTCCTAGCGGTTTCGACCGCTTTATGACCATTTTTTCACCTGAGGGGCGCCTTTACCAAGTAGAGTACACCTTCAAAGCCATTAGTCTTGATGGTCACTTATCTGTTGGTGTACGAGGCCGTGATTGTGCCGTAGTTGCTGCTCAGCTGAAGTTGCCTGACAAATTGATCGATAGGAAATCTGTAACACGCATTTTCCGTCTCACTGACTCTACCGGATGCATAATGACTGGTATGGCACCTGACTGTCGTGCTCAGGTTCAACGTGCCAGATATGAAGCCGCAACATTTAAGCACAAATTTGGGTTTGTGATTCCGTATTGCTTTTCCTAACACTAGGGTTTTTGTAGTTATGAAATACCTTGTGATGTCCTCTTGCACCGAATTGGCGAGATCAACCAAGTCTATACACAGTCCGCTGAGATGAGACCACTGGGATGTGCTATGCTAGCCATATCTTATGATCAAGAACTTGGAAAACCTCAGTTATACAAATCCGACCCCAGTGGATTTGTAGCAGGTCATCGGGCAGTTGCTGTAGGTGACAAGCAGACAGAAGCAATGCGTCACTTAGAAAATGAGGTGCGTTTGTTTTGCATAATAGTTGTTTCTTTATTGTTCGTGCAACAATTCTAGGGACGTGTACAGTGGTCGCGTTAATGTATGACTTATGCATCGATGTAAAGTAATGTGTGCATCATCACTCAGGTCAAAAAATTAATTAATGTTGGCTGATGTGCTCTGATATTACGCGCAGAAACGCTTCTTTACGTGAAAAGCTCACCGGCTTCTCAGTTGTGCTGGTTTCAACTTTCATGGTTGGAGTTACGAGACGATACTGCTGTCGCTTAGGTTTATAATGAAAAACTTGTTCACTTTTATCATTTGTAGGGAAAGTACGGGACAGCCATCTGTAACATTGATTTAAATGTTCTAAGGCTTTTATCTGTATATCGAACAGTACTTTTCCACCTGCAGCTAACCGAAAGGTGGTGTGTTTATCATTTTGAAACCAGTAGTATTAAAATGCACAATTTAGAACTGTAGTAATTCAGATGAACTGAAATGTTCGACACAGTGGTTGTTTATAGACATTGCAAATACGTTTTGTTTCAGTTTTTACCATAAAATGTAACTTGGTAATTGATCTTGTTCGATTTAGGTACTCCTAAATTTTATCTTGTCAGTAATCTTTCAGATTATCATTGATTCTTAAGTCGAGATTCAGGTATATTGGGTCTAGTGATAATCTCAAGTAGTGCACATTTGTGTTGGGTGTTAGAAAATGCATGGAGTTATCAATTTTTCCGCTTATCTTTTTTTTTAAGTTTAGAGTTTTTAAGTTCACTCTTCAAACACCCAACTGTGATTCATTAAATCTTTCTTAAGTAATTACGTATTATTCCTACTAATAGCAAATACTGACTCAAATATTTCATTGTGGCTGTCACTGGTGGTAGTGTATTCAAGTAGTCCCCATAAATTGTCTTATAACATACTGACTGGGTTTTTGTACAAAGCAAGGACAATAAGCATTGTAGAGTGAATCGAACTCATTTCGTGTGCTCTGATCTTGTGCAATAAGTTTTCATTGTCCAGAATATGTAATTTGATATATTTCAATAGTAAAATAAACACCAATACATGTTTCAAATTTAGGCATGAATGTATATGAGGACATGAAAAAGTTGACAACCTAATCACTCAATACATGAAACAGGTAAAATCAGGATGACGCATCAAACCATAAAACCGGTCAGTTTTAGGTGGTAGGAAATCTGATAAAAGGTGGTGTGCAAAGTATATAAATTTCCAATAGAACAATAAAAGAAGGATATACCAAAAACTACGATTCAATGTGATGAAATAAAGTGAGTTAAGAATGACAAAAGTATGAATAATGTTTGAGAATCATCTGTTGGGAAATGAGATGAAAGAATGAAGTAGTGAATAAAGCTGTAGGGAATCGATTCTCCAAGGCAATGCAAAGTGAACCACAAACTCCTGTTTACATAAATTAGGTTGCAGTGGACGGATTGCTGCTACTTTTGCACGGCTATTATTTTGTCTGTTCCTTACCTCGAAAGCTGTGTTTAAGTCTACAGCGTGACTTATATTGAGGATATGTTTACCATGGAACTGCTACGTAGCCTTGCGCCTCAATGATAAGGTTTTTGGCTCACATTTGGAGATCCTTTTAGCAAGGACTCAGACATACTACAGCAAGTACGACTAAATAAATAGACATTCAAAGAAAACATAAGGTCTCACCTGTAAGTTAGTTTCTCTGAGCATGTTCGTCGTGTTATAGAGGACTGTTAACTTCACAGCTGGCTAAGTTAGTGCAATGCATGCATTCAGCTGGCGATCACTTTGTGGAGTCGCTTTATCACCTTTGAGCAGCCTGGTGAACACGTTCTTTTTCAGCATAGTTGTTTTAATCAATTCTCATTTTTAGACAAAGTGCTTATTAATCAACTTTATATGAATATTTTCCAATCCATTTTCTATTCTTTGAAACTCTGTGCCTACCCTCAAGAACCAAGCCTTTACTAAACTTCTGTAAGTAGTGGAATGATAAATAGTAAATATTGATTGACTCAAGTAGGCTTATAATAAACTGCGTAGAATCGAACCATCTTCATTTCTTTTGATACTCAAATTCAAAAGGACTTATTCCATATACCATGTCAATTTCATGTATGAATGAACTGAATCAAAACACCTAAGTAGATTTTCTGCTTGATATTCACTTTCACATATGATGAACATATCATCTATATATTTCAACTACATTTTTGTTTGTTCGATAATACCACTCTGGTTTCTAAATGGTCTAGAAATATTTTTACAAATGTAAGACCAAATAGACTAACCTTAGCAACACCTGTCTGTACGTTATATGGACCATTAAGCTAGGATTGTACCTTTTTGTGAATAAAATCAATAATTCTTTCAGTCTATTAGGCGGGAAGTCTTGTGTCAGCATGACTGCACATGATATCAATCGTTTCTTCAATTGGAAAATTCGCAAATAAGGACTCAACATCAAGCTTGTTAATAAATTCAAAACTCGAAGTATGAGGTTAGAACTTCCCCGATAGGCTCAACTAATTGTGTAAGCCATCGAGCGAGTTTGTCGTATGGGAGTCCAAATTAGCCTATAAAGAACGTAAAGGCATTCCCGTCTCGCTTCTTAACTATGTGTATCTTCTTGGCTGTTTGCCTCGTGGTCTTAATATCTCGCAGAGCTCATCGATTAAATTCTGCTTTAGCAACTGGATGAAAACTTGTCTAATTTTTTCAGTTTGCAATGCCATGTTTTTGTTCTTTTCAGGGAAGAAGTGTTTCTTATCACAACAGAATTTAGAAAAAAACTAGTCTTGTTTGTTTAACACAACCACACAGGAGTCTTTATTAAGTCTTAGTAGGACATTTCGTTCATTCTCTGTCAGCTTACCAATGGCCTTGTGATACTCTGGGCAAAGAATTCTTGTGAGATTTTGAACTGATGGTGAGCCTAAATCTGGCTCTCAGCCAGATTTCTTTGTCATATGGTGTAGGCTTCAAATTGGACAATTGTTTGTACAAATTTTCAAACTGACATTTTTGTTGGACCACTCGGCGAGTCTATGCACATAGTCTTTGTCGTTTGGGTTCGGGCTCAGTCCTTAAAGTTACAGTAGCCCGAATGGGTTGGTGGCTGACCAAATCTCCGCTTGAACACAAAAGACTTGTTTGGCATCTGCAAACTTACGCCATCTGTGACACCGACAAAGTATCCAAGTGAAGGATGAGTGTACTCCGCTGCAGTCTCCTCTCTGTCCTATTACAAGGCTTTGAGGTATCATGTCTAGGAGACAGAAAGGTAATATATATTTTTGATTGTGGGTGTATTCGTAGCGTCGCTTGAGTACGGTGGAATCACCGTCTGAGCAATGGTGAGGTTAGGTGTAGGGAAGGAAAGAAAGTCGATCGACTAAGCTGTGGACCTTCATCCATAGCTTGGACACGTGTTGCTCACACCAAGCCGCCATGTGCCTCGATGTATGATAGTAGCCGAAGCAGGATTAGATTGGAGTAAGGCTAAGGGTAACCAGACTGAGACGTGGCACCAATGTATGACGTTTTTAACTGTTATTCTGAACTGTGCAGCGAGGTGTAGATTATCCGACTAGAGTCCTTGAATGATAAAAATCAATGTTTGCAGACTCCCAGTAATATAGCTGAAGATCGGTTACAATGACAATTCACCATTGTCATGTACATTCTTGAACATTTTGGTAACCATCTATTCATCCCATATCCTCTAACACGTTTGTTTGCCTTGATATTAATTTTTCCATGCACTTCTCCCTCGCGTGTTAATGTAAGGTGTTGCAACTATAACCGATGCAGCTCTGCACCCGATTCTCCGTTCATCTGTTATCTCTCTTAAAACCACTACATCAGTGACGTAGAAGACAGGTATTGAGTTTCAAGTAGTAAAGGTAAATCAGTTGATGAGGTGATAGACCTTCATCCAGTGGAGTGGCTGAGATGTGTTACTCATGGATTGTCACCGTCTACCTCGTCGCGCAATGTCGGCTAATGTAGGTTTCGGCTGGAAAGGGGTGGCCAGAATAAAATGTGGTGTCAGTCCATGAAGTCTCTGACTGTTGGTCTGAGTTGTGTTGGGAAATGCGGACTTCTCTGTTGGGGTTTGCGTGACAACTGAAATCGATGGTTGGGTGGTATGTCTAAAAACCGATCTCAGTGGCGTAACTGGATCCATACACTATTTTCATCCTAATCATCACACCGAATTTCATTGTTGTCTCGTTCCTTGTTCTCTTTTCACTCCTTTTTACTACTCTTGACTATTTTCTTCCTTATTTCTCTCTTTGATCTTGTTGCCGTTTTGCTCGTGTAAGATGTGGATATATAGTATATATATAAGATGTGGCAACTGACCACTACATAGTAGTAATGGCAGATTCCATATTGATGTCTACTGAATAATACACTCAACTCCTAATGACTATTATACGACTACATGTGGTTTTAGTGAATAGTTATTCTGATTTTACTTTAGGCATATCTGATTGGAAAAGAGGATACCTTGCACTTACTATATGTTTTTTAAAAGGTCTCGTTGGTTTAAGTGGAGCGAGTTGAAGATGAGTCGTTAGTATGTCTGTATCTTTTACTACTTGAAATGTTTTCTAAACATCCGTGTTTCATTGCATTTTCGGTTGTCGTTTTTAGTTTCGGAAGCAAGAGAACTATACTTTGGAAGAAGCCATCGAGCTAGCAATTGGTTGTCTTTCACATACTCACTCAATGGAATTCAAAGCTACGGAATTGGAAATTGGAGTTGTGTCAAAAGCAGATCCTGTTTTTAGGTAAGTGTCTTAGTTATGTTTTCTTGCATTAACTCGTATACATGCTATTGATAAGTTAATACACCTAATAAAATGTTCGTCTTCAGTGTTTTAACTCGATGTATTGTATATTTGGTAGGTTTATTTATCCTAGTAAGCGTCAAACGTAAAGTTGTTGGTAAGCTCGTCGAAGTTATAGATTTATATTTGTGAGTATCATTACATTGTCAAGGAATGGTCAGCGTGATACGATCTTAAATAACAACTTGTAAATTTTTGTCTTCAAATTATGGTCTTGGATGGACTCAGTAAATCCTTTTTCTTGAAAAACATACTTTCGTTTTTGAATTAAGATGTCTTAACTATGTATCCACTTTCAGATGGCCACCGGTAACGATTACCACAAAATACAGTCACTAGATGGTATATTTGTCGGCATTCAAGAGACATTAACAGAAAAATCTCTAATCCTTCTTAGTTTGGAGGTAACTTGTGTTTAATCAGCGTATCCAGCTGTAGACACTGGCGTGACAGTATTCGTCAGTTTATAATCGAACTCAGTAACTCATGTAAATGTATTCGTTGTAAACCTGGGTCGTACCTAACAGTGGATAACTATGCCTTTCGATTACTTAAACCTGGTTAGATGTAGTGGTTTTGGACGTAGAATCCAATAATAGAAACCCAATTACTAAAGCCGATGAACCGAGACTCTGCAAGATCCATCTATCGCCACTATAATTTTACATTTCAGCGGATTATTATGAAATCTTTCCTTAGGTGCTAAGGGTAATAGTTTCCACAATTTATGGGCTGATGAGATTTACTAATTTTATATCAGCTATCAGTAAATTGCTTTTGGATTCTGTTACGCTGAATCAAGTTTACAGATAGCAATTTTCTGAATGCATGTAAAGCAGTATTAGTTGTGATTTTAGTTACAACCACTTGTTCAATTTGGAAGTTTATGGCGATTGGTTGATTTCAGGGTAGTAATCATCGGTTGAATAACGATTGAAAACCTCGGAGCACTGGACAGTTTCGTCCTGTTTTGCGACTTCAGCAGTGCCAAAGATTGAACTCAGGACCTTCAAGTCTTACTCCGAGCACGTTACCATCAAACCAATAGGTTAGAAACCAGTGGTTCACATTTTCCTACTGCTGTCGACATGACGTAATCACCATTGGATGCCATCATCGACTATTTGTCTTCATACCCGACGTACATGATTCCACAGGTCACCACTTCTTACTGGAACTTCAGGAAACTATTCTCAAAGCATGTCACTAAAGAGGAGCAGACAGTAATGTGGTTTAAGATAGACAAGTAGAGAGATCTGGACCACTGACTTCTGTCCAAGTGACACAGTGGTAACGTGATCGCCGCGAGGTCTAACAGTCTGGTCGGTGGTGGATCGTGGACGCACATTGCTGAGGAGTTTCATATTAGGACGAAATAGCTGTCCAGTGTGCACACGTTTTCATTGGTTCCCCAAATGATGTTAATCCATGATGAGTACTGCGTGTAATATCGGATTTTCAAATACAACATACTGTTAATACTTGCGTTTGTTACTGGCATGAGTTTTTCATTCTCTACATTTCAGAAAATTGACGGTTGAAGAAATTGATGCTCATCTTATAAGGATGTCTGAAAAGGATTAAACAGTCCAAATCTGTATATTTTTTTGACACGGAATATATTTTTCACTTGATTATTTTAGACTTTGTCGTAAAAAGTATGAGAATACAATGAAATTGAATTTTGGTATGTCCTAATACAATTGTTCAGGCGTTATTTCGGTGCATCAGGTTTTATGTTTGCATCTTAACAGGTTCAGCTTTCCGCTGATATATGCATATAAGTGACTGATAATTTCAGAAATAGGAAAATATACTAATATAGCACATTCTTATGATTTTTGTAGGGATTCTGTATTCATTGTTATTGAATCCTGAATTCCAGAAAAAAACATTTAGTTACTGATATTCCATATTTTCTATCAATTAGCCAGGATGTTGAAACTTAATGATATAAGGCTAGAAAATTTTAACTTTGATTGGGTCATAAGATTCTAAGTTATACTGCTTATCAACCAAAGAAAGCTTTGATTCATGGTCGACGGTTCTTACCATTCGACGAATCACAAGAGTAAAACCGTATTTTAGGGAGATGACTATCAACCAGCGTGCCACTGGTCCGAACCCCACCTACCGAGATTTGGGCAGCCAGGTAATATCACTAGCCTTTACATAATATCCGTAACTTGTTGCCCAGTGCATGGATGTGCACAAAGTGGCTGAGTGAGTTCCGTTTATCAGGTACTATGGTTTTCACAGGTTGTTTAAGAAAAGTTCAAGTGTTTAGAAAGTAGTGAAGTTACTGTTTTTCAAGACTTTACTTCCTGACAACCACTTACAGTAACAGATGTATTTCCTCTTCGTTACTAATTCTAAAAATTGGTATGTGTTCTGTAATTCACTACGCTGTTTCTCCACATTGCCGTATGTAACTTGGAGCAGCTGCATATGCCGTTAGATTTGAACTGGAAAAGGTGTGATAGTCTGTATGAAATGAATCACTGTAAGAATAAACCTTTATAACTCAATCAAAAAGAATTGCTGAACATTGTGAGATCGTCCATCTGTGTCTAGTAACTTTAATATTATTAATAAATATGTAAAGTGCTAGTCTTATCGCATGATTGGGTTTCGCTTCCGAAGATTGGACAAAATGAATAATATGAGATATTCAGAAGAAAAGTGTGGTGACACTTCTGTGCGTGAATGAGTGGATGAATTTTTCGGGCTACTGATGAAATCTCATCTGTATGAAATAGTAAACCGTTCATTCCATATTACGCTGCCGTAACTTAGTCTTCTAATTGGTTGTATTACAGTGTTGATAAATATAAAGTGTAGGCAAGTGATGTAAGACATAAGTTCATTTGTAGTCTGAGAATGATCAAGTGCCAGTCTCGTGAATGCTAGATGATTTCTTCAACAGTTTCATTTACTTGTGGCAGTTTTCAAGATTTTATTCCAACTTGTGAGTAAGCTGATATAGGTTAACTGAAAAGGAAGAAGGCTTTAAACAACTTTGGGTTGTCTTATTTCTGAAAAACTCATCACTGCTGCATTCTTGTATCCATAAACTTCAATGAACAAATGAAAATGAGGCTAGTTTTGGAATATGAAAAGAAAATTTACAAATTTAAATCTGAGTTTAGCAAGTAACGAGCATTTCATATCCCAGTTATAAGCTTCAAATTTCAATATTTTCTTCCGACAAAAAGTCAGTTAGATATGTAGATAGAAAGTGTACCGTTTCTTCACAATTCAAGATGAAGTTTATCTCTGTCTTCACGATTATAAGGGGAGATGAGTTTAATATGCAGATGTTCATTAAACAACGACATGGATATCTATCAAAATAATACATGAAGTCCTTTGATAATATTTCAGAAGAGATAATCCATGACATGACATCTAATGATTGCTTACCTAAGTTGAACGTTACTACAGTGTTATACATAAATCTCACATCTACTAAAAAGTAATGAGTTAAAAATATCAAAATATTTGAGAGAATTTCTGTAAGTTTATGTTGATCTTGCACAAATTTCCAGTTAGTGAATACCTTTGGAGTTTGAAGCCCAGCAACCAGTGTGGCAGTTATAATTTGTGCAAGCACCAAGTCTACAGTCATCTTGCCGGATCACTGAATATTGTCTTTATTCATAGTTTTCTCGTTGTTTGTCCATAGGGAGGACAAGAAGCAAGTCCATTTTGATCTATGCTTATGTAATGAAATAGAAAAACTCAACTACGCCGTACTTAGCATTCATCGTAAGTAAAGAAAAAAAATGCTTGACTGGGACTGCCTATCTTTGAGGTAGTAAATAGACTGTTGCTTATTGCTAACTGTTATGTAAGTAAAAGTATCTGTCTTACTACTGCTCTTATTATTACTTTTAAGTATTACTATGTTTGAAAAGGAATGGATCTCGATGGATACACGGAAGCTGATAGAGGAGGGAGAGGAGGATGGTGAAGCAGAAAATGAACCAGTGCAAGCATGCACAATGAAGAGACGAACGGAGCACAACGTATAAAATACTGGCCAAAGGAGTGAAAAAGAGTGCACGCAAAGACAAAAGATACTTCTACGACACATTGGCACGTGAAGCAGAACAGGCCGCTGGTAGGAGAGACCTGACAACATTATATCAAATAACCAGGTTACTATCTGGAACAGAAAAGATCAACTCAGACGAAACCAATGAAAGATAGTGAAAGACAGCTAGTTACCAAAGACAGAGGAGAAACAAAGGAAACGATGGGTTGACCACTTCAAAAAACTCTTGAATCGGCCACCCCAACACCTACAACTCGTCCACAAATTCCACCAGTCACAGAACTACCAGTGAACACAAGCCATTCGATAAAAGCCGAAGTTCTGAACGCTATAAAGTTACTGAAATCCGGGAAGGCAGTAGGACCAGACGGAATAACCCAGAAGCACTGAAAACAGATGCAGAGATAACAGCGGACATGCTCACACCACTACTTCAGAAGGTTTGGAAGGAAGGGAAGGTATCTGTAGATTGAAAGAAGGGCTACCTTGTCAAAGTTCCAAAGAAGGGAGACCTAAGCCTTTGCAAAAACTGGCGAGGAATCATGCTGCTGTCCACCCCAAGCAAAATATTAAGCCTCATCATCCTGGAGAGACTAAAAAATGCTCTGGATTCAAAATTACGACCGGAACTGGATGGCTAACTGGCTGGCTTCAGGATGAACAAATCATGTACGGATCAGATTGAAACGCTACTCTGTGCATCATCGTAGAACAGAGTATAGAATGGCAGTCGACTCTCTACCTCAACTTTATTGACTTTGAAAAGGCCTTTGACAGCATCGACCGAGAAGTAATTTGGCAGTTGCTTCAATACTACGGAATACCACAGATCTTTATCCGCCTCATTCAACAGCTATATGAAGACGCCACATGCCAAGTGCTTCGCAATGGAAAGGTCAGTAACGCCTTTGAAGTGAAGACAGGAGTAAGACGAGACTGCCGCCTACTATCACCGATGATCTTAAATATAGCAGCAAGATTAACTATCAATTCCAAACATGTCGAAAGCATGACTCATAATTCAGATGGTGGCACAGCAAAGTAAATAAACATCGGTAAATGCTAAAAGTGTAGGAATATACGATTGCAGTGAATACTTAGTAAGGTACAACCGTAAACTGAGTGAAGTGCTGCTATGGTACGAAGTAAAATGTAACAAAACAACAAAACAAAAATATTCCGTGACATGAATTACGAATTCTAACTAATATAATTAAAGTCGACGGGAAGATATAAAATGGAAAACATTAGAATAACCTGTAGTCACCTCACAATGTTTGTGGATACCTCAGTCTTTAGCTTAGCAACATCGAAGAGAGAGGTTAGATACAGCATTTGATCGCATAACAGATACAACAGAAAAGTCAACAAACCAAATCACATCAGCAATAGAAACCACACAGCCAGGGAATTGTAAGCAAAGAAATATACCCTCAAGTATCTAATAACAAATAAGACAAAAAGCTCTAGAAACTTGGGATTACAAGAGCCACAAGGATCCAGGATAGACGATGGCTCTACCACATCCATCTTTCCTAAGAGCATTTGATGAGTATCAGAAGCTGAAGAATAGCCAAATTCGTAGAGTGGATATTCATAAGGTAACTTGATAATAACAGGTTTCTGTGGAGACAGGTCAACATAAGAGCACACAGAATATCGTACTGTTGTTGGTTTCCAGCCATGTCACAGATTAATTCATTACGAAATGAATTTAGACTAATATAACCAATTATTAATTTTAGCTCTGTGAAAAAATTGTCGAAATCACGAAAATCAATAAACCCCAACTTTTTGACGATGTACTCTTTAGAATACGTTCCAGCGGGAAACTCAAGCCTGGAAAAATTATTAAAATAAGCACTAAACCATTTCTGTCACGAAAGACTCAGAGAACATCAGCTATGGATATTCTTGAAGAGACTAATGATTATGTTAAATTCTCGAGCAGCGAAAGTCAAGTAACTGGAAAGTTGTGGTAAAAAAAATTAAGAGTGGTATGCATCGATATGACAAAAATAAACTAAGATTGGAACTTGCTACTTACCGATACTGAATAAGCTGTTATTTAAAGAGTCGATCCATTCAGATGCATGATGCTCATCTTCACAATAAAACGTGGTGATGCGAACTCCCCAGCTACATTTCTTGCTTTGTTTGATACTCCAAATAACGAATCCACAATCCATATGTTCATCTTTTTTTCGAAATGCCTTCACAACTTCACCACACCATTTCATATCATGAGCTATCTTCAAAGACGTAACCCCAATAAAATGCTTGAAACTAACTAAAAGCTAGGTACAAATAAATATGACTTACTTTGATTCACTATACGTACATCAGATTCATTTGTGGTTTTCCACAATATTTCGCTTTCTGTTATTCCAACGGAACATGTAGAAAAATTTCTATCTCTGAGGTGATGTATTGATCCAAAGGTTATAGTCATTTTAAGTTACAACTCTTTGGATGGTGAGGAACTGGATTTGTGCAAACTTCTAGACAGGATCGAATAACAGCATTGAGAACGGAGTATTATGATAGTTCTGTGACTTTGTTGCCTTTAGAACTTCATACAAACTGAACTTTAGAATGGATAATATACAAAAGAAGACCGTTCCTGTTCCTTTATTTCC